TTGAGAGATAACTGAACTTCCAAATATTTTCCTCATTATTTCTTTCTCCATCTATTGAGAGATAACTGAACTTCCAAGTATTTTTTCTCCGTCTATTGAGAGATAACTGAACATCCAAGTATTTTTTCTCCATCTATTGAGAGATAACTGAACTTCCAAGTATTTCTTTCTTAATTTTTCTTTCTATCTATTTAGAGATAACTGAACTTCCAACTATTTTTTCTTAATTTTTTCTCCATCTATTAAAAGATAACTGAACTTCTAAGTTTTTTTCTTAATTTTTCTCTCCGTCTATTTAGAGATAACTGAACTTCCAAGGATTTCTCCTGATTATTTGTTTCTCCATCTATTGAGAGATAACTGAACTTCCAACTATTTTTTCTTAATTTTTTCTCCATCTATTAAAAGATAACTGAACTTCTAAGTTTTTTCTTAATTTTTCTCTCCGTCTATTTAGAGATAACTGAACTTCCAAGTATTTCTCCTGATTATTTGTTTCTCCATCTATTGAGAGATAACTAATAACTCTATCAGGATAGAGCTGATCCACTTCTGTCAGATACTACCTGGCTGTCAAAGTTGTCATTTTTGGTTGACATCACATCCCACATGAATGAATTGAACTTGAAAATTCAGGGAAAGGATAACCTTATCTGTGATCTCTGCAGAATCATCAAAGGATTTCGAAGAAAGCTATCATTGTTTAAAGCACAACTGGAAGGAGGAAACTTCTCTCATTTTCAGTGTTTCAAAGAGTTTCGCGCTGGAATCGCAAAAGACGTCAACCTCGAGTTTCCGAAGAAGATTATTAGTGACTTAAATAAGCCTTTTTTTGGAGAGATTTTCAGATTTCGACAGAGATGAGATTGACATTCTTCTGTTCCAGAATTCGATTGATTGTAACCTTGATGACGTGCCAGTCGAACTACAGTTGGAGCTCATTGATTTGCAAGCAAATGACTTGTTGAAAGAGAAGCATAGAGAAGGAAACTTGTTGAATTTTATCGCTGCTTACCTGATGATGAGTTTTCAAAATTGAAGAAATTTGCCTCTGGTATGGCATCAATGTTTGAAACAACTTATGTCTGTGAGCAAACATTTTCAAAAATAAAGTATGTGAAGTCAACACATCGAACGAGG